GCATGATGTATGGGAGCTGGGAGAAACAGCCGGAGGCCAGGGTGTCCCAGCACATAGAGCAGATCACCATGCAGCTGGACCTGACTCCTAGTGTGTGGGAGGAGGGAGAGGAGGCAGCTGCAGAGGATGGTGATGGATTGAAGGTACAGGAGGCACCTCCTGGTGGAGAAAATGATGTGAAGACTAGCACTAGTGGAGCTGCTGGATCCGAGGGAGGAGAGTAGCAGCAGGGGAAAACTAAGAAGCCGAAGGGTGTCGTTATGAAGGGATGGGAGACACCTGTCTCCAGGCCACGACGTACCCGTATAGCTACTAAGAAGCTGACTGCAGGAGCTGATGTAGCAGAGCAGCAGCTTGGGACAGAGGAGGCATTGCTGATTCTACGGCCTGGCTATGATCCGGATGAGGAGGATGAACCTGCCTACTGATTTCTTGCCCCTGCACCAGAGGAACCAGCTAGCATGGAGGAGGCACTAGCTGGACCAGAGAGGGAGAAGTGGCTGGTTTCTAGGGATGCTGAGTACCAGAGCCTGCTAGAGAATGGGACATGGGATCTGGTGGTGCTGCCCGATGGGAAGAAAGCCGTACAGTAAAAGTGGGTGCTAAGGATCAAGACCAATGACAAGGGACAGGTCACCATCTACAAGAGTAGGCTCGTGGCTACGGGGTTTATGCAGAAGGAGAAGCAGGACTTCAATGAGATTTTTGCTCCCACTGCCAAACCCCCTACCTTCCGTGTGTTGTTGGCAGATGCAACCGTTAGTGGGAAATTCATCATTCAGATGGATATATCAACGGCATTCCTCAACGGGATTTTAGAGGAGGATGTGTACATGACGCAGCCGCCTGGGTAGGAGGATGGTACCGGCAGGGTATGTAAGCTGAAGAAGTCCATCTATGGCTTGAAGCAGGCGCCACGCTGCTGGTACCAGAAGTTGGCAGCTGTTTTAGAGGAGATGGGATTCAGGACCAGCAGCTGTGATGAGAGCCTCTTTCTCAAGGGGGAGGGGGAGAAGATGGTGCTGTTTCTGGTCTACATGGATGACATTCTTCTCTTTAGCAACAGCATGAAGGAGATCCAGAATGTGCAGCAGCAGGTGATGGAGAACTTCAAGTGCAAGAACCTTGGAGAGGTAAAGTACTACCTCGGGATGCACGTGGAGAGGGATCTGGATCACAGGTGGTTGAAGCTGCACCAGGAGAAGTTCATCAAGAAGCTGGGGAAGAAGTATGGGATTGAGAATGAACGCAAGGTTGCAACTCCCCTGCCAGCAGAATTCAAGCTTGTGAAGGCTGCAGAGGATGAAAGGGTTGAAGCCGAGAAGCAGCAGCAATTTCAGTCCTTGGTGGGCAGCCTCTTGTATGCAGCAGTTCACACAAGGCCCGACATCTCTTTCTCGGTTGGGCAGCTGGCAAGGGTGGTGCAGAATCCATCAGAGGAGCAGGTCGATGCAGCTGAGTGTGCGGTGAAGTATCTGAACTCTCACCCAAGCATTGGAGTTCAAAATTCCGCATCTGCATAGGTGAAGCAGAAAGGGGTTGAGGTGCTGAAAGAGAAGGGGGAGCGGCTTGGAGAAGGCAAGCTGTTTCTCACTTGCTTTACTGATGCTACGTGGGCTTCTGAGAAGGAGGATTCTTCATTTGTAGGAGGATATATCTGTGTAGTTGGGAGAGGACCTGTTAATTGGAGGTCAAAGAAGCAGACGGAGACGGCACCCTCTTCCGTGGAATCAGAGTACATGGCAATGTTAGATGGGGTGAAGGAGGTGATTTGGCTGAGGAGGCTGTTAGAGGAGATTGGCCAGGAGCAGAAGGTTGCTACGCCCCTGTTTTGTGATAGCAAGAGGGCTCTTGGGATGGCCAGGAACGCTGTGCTTCATGGGCTCAACAAGCACATGCGTATCAAGTGGCACTGGCTGCGTAAGGAGGTGAAGAGGGGGACGGTGAATCCAATCTACATCAAGACTCACCAGCAGCCAGCAGACTTTCTCACCAAGAGGCTTGCGGATGAGCCTCATTGGCGTTGTGTGCGCATGAGTGGAATGAGCATGAACTAGCATGGAATGATGGGGATGCAGCCGGCAGGCTGAGGGGGGGTATGTTGGGTGTAAATTTACATTGCACGACATCCTGCCGTCTTTTTGTACAAGTATGCGTGTGCGAGTGCATTTGCGTATGAATGGAATGTTCGTGTATTTGTTTGCTTTTGCAATTTTCGCTTGATGCATTTGCAGGTACTCGCGCAATGTGCGCTTCGGCACAACATTGTACACGTTATGAACTGTGCAAGCAGAAAGGACGAGCTCGCAAAGGAACCCAAGATGGAAGCTTTGCGGTTCGGCTTACTTGATTGCGCAGATTCAGTTCTATCCAACTCAAAATTGTACCGTTTTGTTTGGTTCACTATAGTGTAGCAGGGCAGGCACTATAGAGGTACAATATAGGTGAAGGTTGGATGTTGTTTGTCTGTATCTGCATGCTACATGGCCAGGGGAAACTAGCGGAACCAGCATTTGGCTGGTTGCGCAAAACAAATCAGGTTCTGTTTTTAGGACCTGAACCTGGTTGTTTTTTTCCAAGGTTGGAAAAACAGAACCAGAGGTTGTTTACCAACCTACCATCTGCTGTTTTGTCCAGCCAGGTTGGTTCTGTTGCTTGGAAATATTTTGGATCATCCCTGGTTGTTCCCAGGTTGATTCCCAAGGTCATTGCTAGCTAGAGCTATTTATTCCTTCTCTGTTTGTACCTGAATATAGTCAATTTGATTCAAGCGAATTGCTTTCTTCCTGGAATTTTGTTCTACACGGTACGACGGCGGAATGCTATCTGAGTCAACGCTAGTACGCTAGCACTGCGACGCTAGGCCAACGCTTTCCGAGCCATAACTTTTTGCGAGGCATCTTGGTTCATTTCAAAGCTCTTGAAGCGAGCTTCGATGTAGCAAATTCTCAGCTTAATCTGATCGACGGTCTGCTCGATACGCTGCGCGACGTTCAAGGTACTCTTGTTATTTGCTAGAGAACCTGGATAAGCTAGAGACAAGGAGACAGGAGTGCATGCTACACAAACGCGGCATAGAGGGGTGAATTAGACAGTGGTGCCGGAGGAGATACGGGTGGGTGAGAACCCAACACTTGCAAGATGCAGCTATCTGACCAGATGCAACTACTTGTGCCGACATAGTGGTCAGTATGTACAGGCCAGACCCGGGTCTCCGAGTGAACGTGGCAAGGTGGTGGCAGTCCGTGAGCACGTACAGATCGCAACAAGCTCAACCCCAGGAATAGTGGTAGTGACCAGCTGGTCCTGGAGGGGAGGTGGAGACCTGAGAGTGAGCGTGAAGGGGCAGCCGGACACGGGAGAATAGTGGAGGCAGTTGCTACTACTGAGCCCCCAGACAGGTCAGCCAGAGTGACTGGGACAGGTGCAGTGAGCATTGTGACTGTGGTGCAATTGCGGAAGAAGCAGAGAGACGCGTCTGAGTCTACTGTGAAAGTATGCAAAGTCTTTGCATGAGCCGCATCTGTGGTGGCACGCTCACAAGCACCCTCAACACTATCAGAAGTGTTGGTGTAAGAGCCTAATAAACTCAAGCTATTAAGACATTATCAAGCTTAAAACCTCTCCTCGGGGTCACCTCCAAGGGTCCTTGGGTGCCTGGTACAAGACCAGCCCCTATCCTCGGGTCCGAGTTTGTAGAGAGAGGGATCAAGAGGGACTTAGTCAAAACAGCAAGAGTACCTTGAACGTCGCGCAACGTATCGTGCAAACCATCAATCGAATTAAGCTGAGAATTTCCTGTATCGAAGCTCGCTCCAAGAGCTTTAAAATGAACCAAGTTGCCTTGCGAAAATTTCTGCCATTACGAAGTTATGGCTCGGACAGCGTTTGCTTAGCGTTGGAGTGCTAGCGTACTAGCGTTGACTCAGGTAGCATTTCGCCGTCACACAGCGTAGAAACAAAATTCCAGCAAGGAAGGGATTCGTTTGAATCAATTTCACTATATTCAGGCACAAACAGAGAGAATAAATAGCTCTAGCTAGCAAGGACCTTGGGAATCAACCTGGGAACAACCAGGGATGATCCCAAATAATTCCAAGCAATAGAACCAACCTGGCTGGACAAAACAGCAGGTGGTAGGTTGGTAAACAACCTCTGGTTCTGTTTTTCCAACCTGGGAAAACAACAACCAGGTTCAGGTCCAAAAAACAGAACCTGTTTTGTCTTTGCCCAACCAGCCAAATGCTGGTTCCGCTGGTTTCCCCTGGCCCTGTAGCATGCAGATACAGACAAACAACATCCAACCTTCACCTAAATTGTACCTCTATAGTGCCTGACCTGCTACACTATAGTTAACCAAACAAAACAGTACAATTTCGAGTTGGATAGAACTGAATCTGTGCAATCAAGTAAGTTGAACCGCAAAGCTTCCATCTTGGGTTCCTTTGCAAGCTCGTCCTTTCTGCTTGTACTGTTCATAGCGCGTACAATGTTGTGCCGAAGCGCACATTGCGCGAGTACCTGCAAATGCATCAAGCGAAAATTGCAAAAGCAAACAAACACACGAACATTCCATTCACACCCAAATGCATTCGCACACGCATATTCGTACAAAGAGACGGCAGGATGTCGTGCAATGTGAATTTGCACCCAACAAGAAGCACCATACATAGCATACATGCCAGAAGTGATTTTTTTTTTATCAAGACCAAGCATATCGATGCTTTTTCTAGGGCAATCCTAACCAGTTAGGGATCACAGCCTCGTCGTCAAACATGCCATGGAAGGCATCCTCAAGGCGGAGGAAGCAGCGAGCCTCGTGTGCCCCACCTTGCCGCAGGGGTCTCTAGCCTGCGGACCTGTACGCCGGACGTATGGGCAACGACCAGTACCCCTAGAGGAGCCACGCCAAACAGCCTACTCACGAAGCTACTGGGGCGAAAGGGTTTCCTGCCGGTGCTGTTGTTGCTGTCCACCCCCATAGCCTCCGCCGCCACAAGCTACACCCCCGGATGCCGCCCCAGAGCCTCCAACCCTACCAGCTCCACCACTATCGCCACCCGAGCCCCCTCTGCCCACCCCACTGCCTCCACCACCCCTCCCACCTCCACTGCCGCCACCACCTCCTCCATCCCCTCTACCGCCACCGCCACCACTCTTGCCAACGCCACGCCCACCACCCTTACCCCCCTTTCCTTTGCCGCTGCGGCACCTCCCACTAGGAGCCGACGCAGCACCGACCTCCTCAGCATGAAGGAAGTCAACAGCAGCAGCAGTGGCAACGGAGGGCGCGAGAAGGGAGGGATAACACCCCTCAAAAAAGGAGGGGAGGGGGGTTCCACGGAGGCGGCAACGACGCGGGCACTAGTCACAACCTCGAAAAGACGAGTCTCAGGCGAGTCAAGCGTGAGCTCAGTGGGGTCGATGGAGAGGAAGTAGCCGCCAACAGCACAGAGGAAGTCAGGAAGGCGAGTGACGAGCAAGTAGAGAGTGATTTAATCGGAGGCGCGTTCGCAGTTAAAAGGTCGGCTTGAGAGCAGCACGGCAGCGATTGTTGCTGGAGCGGAGGTAGGTCATAAGATGAGCGACGGTGGAGAAGTCTGACAGCTCAGGAAAGAGGCACGGCAGAATGAGACGGCCTAGGGCAGCAGTAGATCGGGAAGAGTTGCGCTTGATTATAGCATCTTAGAGCTCTTTAGCCGCCTTGAGCTGGCCAAAGTGGGGCCTCTCATGTGGCAGGAGGTGGTTGCGAACAGCAAGAGGGCCGGTAAAATCGCGCGTGAGCTACTGGGAACGAGCTACACGGTCTGACGACTTGTCTGAGGCAGGAAGGGACCCTGACATATGCTCATAGAGAGAGACATCATCCCTAGGTACGCTCTGCAGGTACAGCTGGAGATCCTCTAGCCAGGAGTCAAACTGGATCGCGCGACCTTCCACGTCAAAGGTAAGAACAGTGATGGTTTTCATAGTAGGCAGTAGCAGTGGCAGCAACGGCGCGGCGGCCGTGGCTTCAGCAGCGGCATCGGCCGTGGCTGCAGCAGCGGCAGCAAGAGCTGCAGCAGCGGCAGTAGCTGCAGCAGGAACAAGGGCGGCAACAACTGCGGTTGCGGCAGCACGCGGGCCTTACAGGGCAGGGCGGCGCTAGTACGCAAGGCAGGGCAGCGTCGGCCTTACGGGGCAGGGCAGAGTCAGCGGACGGGCCTGTGGCTGTCGTAGCTGCAGCAGCGGCAACAAGGGCGGCGGCAGCAACAGCAGCAGCAGCAACTGCGGCAGCGGCAGCACGCGGGCCTTACAGGGCAAGGCGGCGCTAGTGCGCAAGGCACGGCGGCGCATGCCTTACGAGGCAGGGCCGCGGCAGCAGGGCGGGCGGCCTGGCTGCAGCGTGGGCGGCAGTGCAAGGCAGCGCGAGCTGGGCAGCAGGGCAGCGCTTAGGCAGGGCGCTGCAGGGCGGCAAGGCGCGGCAGCGGGCTGCAACGCACGGCAAGGCAGGGCAGCCGCGCTCGCGAGGCAGCGTGCGACGACGCACTGGGCAGAGGCGCGCACTACGGGGCAGCGATGGTGCGCGACGGGCAGCAAACAGGGCGCACGGGGCAAGGAACGGGCCGCGCGCTAGGCAGCAAACGGGGTGCGTGCGGGATAGCAAATAGGGCGTGCACTGGGCAGCGTACGGGGCGCGTGCTAGGCAGCGTATGGGGAGCGCACAAAGGAATAACCGAGGCGCGTGCAGAATAGGGGCCTACTCGCTCGATAGGGGCTCGTTTCGGGCAGAAAAAATGACGCGCGCTAGAGGCGCACGACAGGCATGCATGCACTAGGGACGCGCTACGGGCAGCGGAAGGGGGCAGGTTCTTATTACAAAAGAAACAAAAAAAAAGGTGACGAAATCGTCTTAGGGTTGCAAAGCGTTTTGCATGATTACATTCGTTATTGTACAAGTTGTGGTAGGTGTTACTCACGTATCAAAGTAAGTGTTATCTACTTCACACAATTTGAAGGATGTTGAAAAGTCTCGCAGCAAGATTAGAACCGGCGACCTTTCGTTTGACTTTTGTTCTCAAACTAATTTCTATGACAACTAACGACGCGACGAAATCAGAACCACCTTAGGGTTTGTATCGCTCTTTCTGTCCCTCCGATTCCTCTCGCTCGCCACCCTTCTTTACTGCCATAAGTTGTGCTCCTATCAGCCACTGAGAGGTAAGGAGAAACCTATGCTAAACCTTTTAACTAAAACTAGGAGACTTATTTACCGATGTTGTTCCTAGTAGCTCTCCTCATCCGTTCGTCTCTCCCTATTCCGCCACTCTCGCGTCCTACTAGTCTCTTCAAATTTCAGTCGTTTTATTTTTGTTCCTTAACTACTTACAGACAACCCATCTCCGTTTTTGTTTAACTATTCCTCCTTTATTCTGAATCCCGTCGTTATTCTCCACGTTTCTTTTTGCTCTCTTATTCGTTAGGCTGTCAAAATACTATAACTGTCTAGTCTACAGTGGGGTACTCTATAGTGAGTACAGCCCAAATTAGGGCTGCTAGTGCAACTACTCTTTCTGTTTCTAACTTTCTACTAGCGTTTCTTAACATGCTATCAGAGCGAGAACGCTCCTGGCCTGTGGGCGCACCTGCTTCCGCTGCTGTCCTACTTGTCGCGCGCCCGGGACGCGCGAAGTTTTCGGCGGCATTTGTTCTTCCCGCAGCGCGCTCGGGGCGTGCGGCGGTTTTCTGGCCGTCACGCGCTCGGGGCACGTGGCGGTTTCCTGCCCGCCGCGCGCCCCGGGCGCGCGCGGCGGTTTCGTCGCCCGTCACGGCACCCCAGGGGCCCGCGCACCGTCCCCCCTCCCGTCGCCCGTCGCGGCGCCCCTGGGGCCCGCGCGCTGTCCCCTCCCGTCGCCCGTCGCGGCGTTCCGAGGGCCCACGCGCCGCCACCTCCCATCGCCCGTCTCGGCACCCCGAGGGCCCGCGCCCCGCCCTGCCCGTCGCACCGCCCTGGGGGCCCGTGCGTCGCCCCCATCCCGTCGCCCGTCGCAGCGGCCTGGGGGCCCGCGCGCCGCCCTGCCCATCGCCCGTCGCAGCGCCCCAGGGACCCGCGCGCCGCCCCGCTTCCGCTCGTACGCCGCCCCAGCTGCTGGCCGCGTATCTACCCCGCGCCGCACGCGCGCCGCCTGCGTGGGGGGTATGGGGGTGGCGGGTGTGTAACCCGTCCCCTGCTCCTCCTCCTCCGTCTCCCACTGCTGCAGCTGCCCCTGAGGGGGGTGGGTGTGTGGGAGCCGAGGGAGTGGCGCCAGGGGGATGTCATGGGAGTAGAGCTAGGGGTGCAGCAAGGGGTGTGTGAAAGGGGTGTGGGACAGTTGGGGGAGGTTGAGCGGAGGAAGCCGTCGTGACGTCAGCAGCGCCAGTAGTGCGAGGCCCTTGCTGCGGTAGCCCAGCGAGCCTGCTGCGCCAGTCGCCCGTGGTCCAGTAGCCCAGACCGATGACAAGGGACAGGTCACCATCTACAAGAGTAGGCTCGTGGCTACGGGGTTTATGCAGAAGGAGAAGCAGGACTTCAATGAGATTTTTGCTCCCACTGCCAAACCCCCTACCCTCCGTGTCTTGTTGGCAGATGCAACTGTTAGTGGGAAATTCATCATTCAGATGGATATATCAACGGCATTCCTCAACGGGATTTTAGAGGAGGATGTGTACATGAAGCAGCCGCCTGGGTAGGAGGATGGTACCGGCAGGGTATGTAAGCTGAAGAAGTCCATCTACGGCTTGAAGCAGGCGCCACGCTGCTGGTACCGGAAGTTGGCAGCTGTTTTAGAAGAGATGGGATTCAGGACCAGCAGCTGTGATGAGAGCCTCTTTCTCAAGGGGGAGGGGGAGAAGATGGTGCTGTTTCTGGTCTACATGGATGACATTCTTCTCTTTAGCAACAGCATGAAGGAGATCCAGAATGTGCAGCAGCAGCTGATGGAGAACTTCAAGTGCAAGAACCTTGGAGAGGTAAAGTACTACCTCGGGATGCACGTGGAGAGGGATCTGGATCACAGGTGGTTGAAGCTGCACCAGGAGAAGTTCATCTAGAAGCTGGGGAAGAAGTATGGGATTGAGAATGAACGCAAGGTTGCAACTCCCCTGCCAGCAGAATTCAAGCTTGTGAAGGCTGCAGAGGATGAAGGGGTTGAAGCCGAGAAGCAGCAGCAATTTCAGTCCTTGGTGGGCAGCCTCTTGTATGCAGCAGTTCACACGAGGCCCGACATCTCTTTCTCGATTGGGCAGCTGGCAAGGGTGGTGCAGAATCCATCAGAGGAGCAGGTCGATGCAGCTGAGTGTGCGGTGAAGTATCTGAACTCTCACCCAAGCATTGGAGTTCCAAATTCCGCATCTGCATAGGTGGAGCAGAAAGGGGTTGAGGTGCTGAAAGAGAAGGGGGAGCGGCTTGGAGAAGGCAAGTTGTTTCTCACTTGCTTTACTGATGCTACGTGGGCTTCTGAGAAGGAGGATTCTTCATTTGTAGGAGGATATATCTGTGTAGTTGGGAGAGGACCTGTTAATTGGAGGTCAAAGAAGCAGACGGAGACGGCACCCTCTTCCGTGGAATCAGAGTACATGGCAATGTTAGATGGGGTGAAGGAGGTGATTTGGCTGAGGAGGCTGTTAGAGGAGATTGGCCAGGAGCAGAAGGTTGCTACGCCCCTGTTTTGTGATAGCAAGAGGGCTCTTGGGATGGCCAGGAACACTGTGCTTCATGGGCTCAACAAGCACATGCGTATCAAGTGGCACTGGCTGCGTAAGGAGGTGAAGAGGGGGACGGTGAATCCAATCTACATCAAGACTCACCAGCAGCCAGCAGACTTTCTCACCAAGAGGCTTGCGGATGAGCCTCATTGGCGTTGTGTGCGCATGAGTGGAATGAGCATGAACTAGCATGGAATGATGGGGATGCAGCCGGCAGGCTGAGGGGGGGTGTGTTGGGTGTAAATTTACATTGCACGACATCCTGCCGTCTTTTTGAACAAGTATGCGTGTGCGAGTGCATTTGCGTATGAATGGAACGTTCGTGTATTTGTTTGCTTTTGCAATTTTCAATCGATGCATTTGCAGGTCCTCGCGCAATGTGCGCTTCGGCACAACATTGTACGCGTTATGAACTGTTCAAGCAGAAAGCACAAGCTCACAAAGGAACCCAAGATGGAAGCTTTGCGGTTCGGCTTACTTGATTGCGCAGATTCAGTTCTATCCAACTCAAAATTGTACCGTTTTGTTTGGTTCACTATAGTGTAGCAGGGCAGGCACTATAGAGGTACAATTTAGGTGAAGGTTGGATGTTGTTTGTCTGTATCTGCATGCTACAGGGCCAGGGAAACCAGCGGAACCAGCATTTGGCTGGTTGCGCAAAACAAATCAGGTTCTGCTTTTAGGACCTGAACCTGGTTGTTGTTTTCCAAGGTTGGAAAAACAGAACCAGAGGTTGTTTACCAACCTACCATCTGCTGTTTTGTCCAGCCAGGTTGGTTCTGTTGCTTGGAAATATTTGGGATCATCCCTGGTTGTTCCCAGGTTGATTCCCAAGGTCCTTGCTAGCTAGAGCTATTTATTCCTTCTCTGTTTGTACTTGAATATAGTCAATTTGATTCAAGCGAATTGCATTCTTCCTGGAATTTTGTTCTACACGGTACGACGGCGGAATGCTATCTGAGTCAACGCTAGTACGCTAGCACTGCGAAGCTAGGCCAACGCTTTCCGAGCCATAACTTCGTAATGGCAGAACTTTTTGCGATGCATCTTGGTTCATTTCAAAGCTCTTGAAGCAAGCTTCGATATAGCAAATTCTCAGCTTAATCTGATCGACGGTCTGCACGATACGCTGCGCGACGTTCAAGGTACTCTTGTTATTTGCTAGAGAACCTGAGTAAGCTAGAGACAAGGAGACAGGAGTGCATGCTACACAAACGCGGCATAGAGGGGTGAATTAGACAGTGGTG